TCTTTCTTATCGTGGTGTGTAGTTTCTCTTCCAATTAGTGATTAAAAGCCGGCTGGTCGCTGCTTGTGGGATTCATGGCCACGGCCATGTTCCCTCCTCTTCAGCGCTCCCGCATCGGGGCACAGCGCCTAGCCTCCGCAATTCGCCGTCGCCGAAGACAGGCAAAGAAGCCCCCTGCTACTCTGTCTCCCTCCAAGAGACAGAGCGGGACACCCCCACGCTGGGGAGGTCCCCGAAGAACGCTGAGGGAAGACGAACGGCTCGGAGCGAGCCGAGACATGTCCGCTCGCGCGCCGTACCGGAACCAGATCTCCTGTGACTGGCATCCTTGAAGTGCGTGGTTTAGATTATTTAGTTCATCATTGAGAAAGTGCGGCTCAGGAAAGGTCCTCCATTAGTATGTTTCACAGCCTGGGGAACTCCTACAAGATTATGACTCAGCCCTACCCCACCTTCCTGAGTAGATATAAATTACCTGCCTACCATTTTTCTTCTCACCTTGACACAGAGAGTTCTCTGTCCTTCTGTGTTATACCTCTGAGGATGCCAGGCACAGCTACTGGCGAAACATCAGGTCCTACGATGCCAAGACCACGGCCACACAACCTGGAAAATCTACAACAGCTAACGAACTCCAGCCGTGAAAGCCTTCGACAACAGAAATGATTTTGCTTATATCCGATAAACTCAAGAACAAACAATTGTGAAATTTTTAGCAGAAATGGTTTAAGGAAAGCGACAAACCTAGAACTGGTATAGTAGTAGCTAAGGCTGCAATCTTGTGTATACTTAACCTTATTGTATATTTGATTCAACAAAGTGGGCCATATTTGGAGCAAATATCCACAGGGCTGGATTGTATGGATGTGAACAGTATTTCAGGAAACACCTGTCTCAAACATCACTTCACCCATATCCCCCCTCCCCCCGCCTCCCAATTTTAGGCCAGCCTCCACCTCTCTTCCTCAAACATCATCTGCAACTTCGGGATACTAATATTAACTGAAAGGCTATTGAAAGAAGAGAATATCAAGTGCTTCAAATATTCTAAAGCGACACATCATGCTAAGTAATAATGCTATTTTACCCCAACCCCTCGTCACATTATGTTTGGCCCACAGATGTGTGTGTGTGTGTGCATCTCTTCCCGGTTTTTGCCAGCCGATAGCCAAGGACTGAAATTGGGATCTTCTGTATGCTGAATCTACTTTTCCACTGTGGATCGCAGCTCCACATAGTGGAATATGTGATATTTGGACTGGTATACCAAAAGAGAACATTGACCTTGATGGCCCAGGCTAGCTCAGTCTCATTAGATCTCAGAAGCTAAGTTAGTATTTGGATGGGAGAACACTGAGGAGTTTCAGGGTTGCTATGCAGAGGCAGGCAACGGCAAACCACCTCTGGACCAGTGTTCCCTCTAAGCTGAGTGAGTGTGAGCTAGCTCACAATTTTTTAGCCTCCGGCTCACACATTTTTGCCTTAGCTCAGGAAGGAGGGCTCCAGAGCAGACTAATCGACGCAGCAGCCAAATTGCTTGCTCACAACATTAATGCCAGGAGCTCACAAAGCAGAATATCTGCTCACAAGACTCCATAGCTTAGAGGGAACATTGCTCTGGACCTCTCTTGACTTGAAAACCCTATGGGGTTACCATAACTCGGCTGTGGCTTGATTGCACTTTATACACATACACACCAGAAGAGAAGAAGCTCCTCCAGGGGTCAGCATGTGTATAAAGTGAATCAGATAGGAATGCGGGTCTTCACT